TACGGTCTTACGTGCTTCATGTATGTATTGCATTCGACCTTTAGTTATTATTATTAAAATACTTTACAAATGCCGTTATTTAATTAATTTATTTTTTGTTCGCAGCCTTACAGAATGGTGAAGGATCATCGAACCGACTATGAGGTTTCTGATCCCGATTCAGTCCTTGAAGGTGATCTTGATGGCTTTATCTTGAGTTTTCTATCTGCCGCTTTGGACAAACACGAAGATTAAGATCAAGACCACCTCTTAATCCAACATTGATCATGTTTGGAAAAACTGGATCTTGTTCTAATAGCAATATGAACTCTCTCTCTCTCAGTTAACAGGGTGAAGTTAATATTATGAAATAACAACCAATTATATTGGTCAATTTTTTTATAATTTCGTTTTATTTCGTATTTTGTGCTTTTTTGTATTATTGTTTCAAATTTTACGACAACATTTATACATTGCGTAAACATTATCCAGTTCTACGAGCCACAACCGAAACCGCAACCCCATCAGAAAAATGAAAATTTCTTGAAAAGCTGGTTGCATTTCTAAGAAAATTACTATTTCCAACAACATCAAATCATAGAACACTTCAAATACATTAAATTAAGGAATAAATACTTCAAAAAAGAAAAAAAAAACATTTAAGTCATTATATTGAGGAAGAGAAAAAAGGATAATACCAAACAATTTGGTGAATAACTGACTAAGAAAAATGAATACCAGCCTTATTAAATAAAGAAAGAAGGTGCATAAAATCCGCCTGCGCGAGCTTCGAAGACCGTTTATCTTCAAAACCTCCTAGCTTGAGTACGCTCAAAACCTTCTCTTTAAAAGCATTCGACTTCGCATCTTTATCATCAATCTCCATTTCTTCATCTTCATCATCATCTTCGTCTTCATCTTTATCCATATTCATGTCGCCAAGTGTGTCGCCTAAAGCAGACACACAAACGGCCATTTCTGCGTCGGCCGAAAAATCTTCAGGCGTGAGCTGTAAAGCCTGCAAAGTCTTGTAATTCTTCTCCAGCATATTAAGAACGGTCTTTTGCCTGAACAGAGCGCCCAGAGTCTTGTTCTTACGGTTGAAGCATATACGAACCAAGCCATCCCACTCCTTGAAGTTGACCGGAGGGAGCGGCTTGCGTGGCTCGATTCTGACCACAGAGGAGTCGACTTTCGGTGGGGGCCTGAAATTGTTCCGCCCCACTTTCAAGAGATGGTTGACTCGAGATAGTAGCTGAGTGTTGACCGAGAGGCGGCAGTAGAGGGAATCGCCCGGCTGAGCCACCAGCCTCATGGCGAATTCGCGTTGGAACATGATTACTGCGCATCTGAATAAAGGGCGGTGGGCTAATAATTTGAATGTGAGCGGGGAGGAGATTTGGTACGGGATGTTTGCTACGCAAATGTCGAAGTACGGGAGATCGCATTTTAGGACATCTCCTTGTATAACCTGTGGAAGGATTTTTTTTCAGTAAAATGATTATTCATCCAATTTCAATAAAATCGAATCCTTTACGCAGAATCGGGCTCTCGTAACTTTCACAGAACAACACTTGAATTTCTAAAAATTCAATTCAGTTAAACACACCTATAGACCATCAAACCTTAATCAACAAAAAATTTCAGCAAAATAAATAAATAAAAATGTTAATCACCTTCAACCGACTGGAGAAGGGAGTTCCTTGGAAACGGCGTTGCAGCTCGAGCACCATACGTGGATCGAGCTCCACAGCAATCACGGATTTTCCAGCTTCTAGAAGCTTCTTCGTGAGATTACCAGTACCCGGACCGATCTCGAGAATAATATCAGTAGATTTAATGCCGGATTTCTGAACAATCGAGTCAACCAAGAGTGGATTTTTCAGTATGTGTTGGCCTTTCGACTTGTGGAATGGAATTCCTCCCTGAAAATGAGCGCCGCCGGGCGGCTTCTCCTTCTTAAATTTGCCTCCAGCCATAGTAACACAGCCGCACAATCACAACCTTGATAGTATTAGGGCAAGAAAAGCTAATATGAGTTCTAAATTCCAACACATGATTTCAAATAATTCTCCGAATAACTGAAAATTCTTCAAATTCCGATTACTCGCGTAAGATTAATCAACCGAATTAACTACACATGCATCTCGAAACAAGCAATTTCTGAAGAGAAATTGAAATTATTGAAAAACATAAAACATTCTGAAAAATCAAATAATTAAATTAAATTAAGTTACATGTCTGAATCTAATCAATCAAAATACATGAAAAAACACAACAAAATATGTCATAAAAAAAAGGTACCTTTTTTGTGTCGAAAGCTGAGCAGCAAACGGAAAAATTAACCAGAAAATCCGAAACCCTAAATCTCGTCTGTTTCTTCTTCCTGCAGACCGCCCCCTAAGCCGCCGCCGCTGCCGCTGCCGCTGCCGCAGTACTAGTTGATTTTCTTATAAACCTTGAAAGTGAATCAACAACCCAGATTTTACAATCCTGTATATCTTTTATTTGAGGGTATAATGGGGATTTTTTGACAAAATTAATGGTGTTTATAGTGTTTGTAAGGGCTTTGTATATATTTTCATAATGGGCTTATTTTTTATATTTTGATCCAAATTTAAATCATATAGTAATGACTAGGTCCAATACAAGCCCAATAAAGAAAAGGGTAAATAGCACTTTACCCACCCTGGTTTGATTTTTCAATATAAACACATGATCCCCTGTAGTTTGAACTTTGTGCACATGGCCCTCTTGTCCTTTTAATATAGGGTAAATTACAGTCACCCCTGAGGTAAAAGTCAAATTATGAAAAAAAATCCCTCATGTTTAAGCAATCGCACTCATCCCCTTCAATTATGAATTTTCTTAACGTCCACCCTTGCAGTAGAAATTTCTAGATTATGTGGAATATTCTCCAGTTTGTACCCGTTTTACCCCATTCGAGTTCCAAATTTTGAAACAAGATGATCATAAGATGTCTTTTGGCTTGTAAATATCAGATTGTAGTGCTCAGAAACTGCATTTTTATACAAAACGAGTACAATCTTAAGAATATTCCACGAAATTAAAAGATTCCACTAAATTTGATACCATAAGGGTGGACGTATAGAAAGATTCATGGTTAAAGAGGTGGTTATAATTATCCAAAATATTAGAGATTTTTTCATAATTTTGACATTTTCTCAGAGGTGGTCGTACTTTACCCTATTTTTTTTTTAAATTCTGCAGATTCATGAAAATAAAAGAGATACATAAACCTTTCTATACACACAAAAAGAAAAAAAAAAAAAAAAAAGAAAAAAGAAAATTCAATTCACCCCTCAATAGTGTCAAGTGTGATTCAAGAAATTTAGTATACAATGTTGAATGTGTATCGAGTATTCATCTTCTCCGAATTCAGGAAAAAAAAAATGAGGATACAAAAAAAAGAAGAAAAAAAAAGCTCTCATGAACAAATTTTGTTGAGGCTGGATGAGAAAAAAGATGTGCTAAAAGGGCTCTAAAAAAATGTACAAATGGTGGGGATTAACGAAAGGCAAATCAAGGCCGCCACACGGTCTTCTGTGCACAGAGAATACCCTCTCGATTCTGCGCAAAAGTCATACGAATCTCCCAATGAAGGCTTCTCAAAATCTCTTCAAGAGGATTTAGAATTTCGACTTTGTCGCGAATAATTGCCCATCCGTTAGGCCTTAGTATCCGATCCATCTCCACAACAATTACTATTGCCTGCTTACATCTGAAAATATATATATAATATCGAGTTAATACACACACGAAAAAAAAAACGAGCTTCTTTTTGAATGATTTTTGGTTGCCACGATGAGATTAGCCAAGAATAAGATACTTGCAATTTTATCATGGTCTAATTCACAATAATATAACAAAAAAATGTACCTTGATAATTATTTCAGTCCTCGTTTGGTTTCCAAGATAATATTAACCCAATTATACGATTGGACCATGATAAAATAATATTATTTTCGGGTCGACCCGGAAAATTATTGGGTTTACTAAACATTAAACATATTCCAATTACTTTAATTAATTATGGGCTAATTTCCCTAACCAAACGAGGCCTCAATATATAAAAATAATCGGAATAAAAACATTGGCGCGCTACACCAATTTTGATATTTCCAATAGTAGCGATAAATCAACCACCTAAAACAGGTATTTAATTCCAAAAAAAAGAAAAAAAGAAAAAAATAAATGAAGTTAGAATTTTTTTTCGAACCTGTTCTTAAGCCTTGAGAAGAGATGATCGGCATGCAGAAGGTCGTAAGATCTTGGATAAGAGCCAATAGATTCACACCAATCATGGTAAACGCCGATAAGCCCGCGCTCGAAAATTATCGGGAGTGTATCTGGTGCATGTACAGGTACCACATTCATTACCCAAACCTTCTGCTCCGAAAGCGCAGCTGCAAATCTGTAAAAATATCAATCGGATATTAGCAGTCTTTTATTACATTTTGTTTTGGATGATTACTTATTACGATAATTAAAATTTAATTTAAATTATTCAAGTACAGCTCACCCTCCGTTTACGGCTTTCATGTCCATAACATTCCTGATAGTTGACCAGTCAATGCCGATTCCTTCGAGATACGAATTGTTGACAATAGCTTTCCAATGTTCACTATCGGCAATCAATTTTTCTCGATTATTTGTCCAATCGGGAAATGTATGAAGCCTTTTGGGCCATTCGGCAGGCCACTCAGTCCCGTGTTGCTCGATAGCCTCGGGAATTGGGTGAAGGCAAGTCTTCATCGAAACATACCTGCAAATTTAAAAAAAAATTCAAAAACTTTAATGTGATACTTATGATTTTATCTTATGTTTAAAATGCCATATAAGAAACAAAATCGGGTTTTTACTTAATTTCGTAGCTAAAGATTGATACAAGACTTGACCACTATTTAAGATATGAAATCACTAGGCAATTTATTGGGCCTCGTTTGGTCGCTAAGATTTGCTGTGATTAATTAAATAATTGGATTTATTGGACGTTTTGTTAGTCCAATAAATTTTCGGGCCGGGCCGGGCCACAATTGTCGAAAAAATGGCTCTAATCGTAGCTAACTGTGAGATTATTTATTGGATCGCCCATCGTCCAACAATTTAATTGGATTATTTAATCTTATGTTGACTAATCGTATCTTATGAACCAAACGAACCCCATTGAAGCTGCTATTATATCAATAATATATCTACATTTAGTCATTTAGAGATCATAGTTTTTTTTTTCAATAAATTAGGGAATTTATCGAGTGGCTGAGCAGCTTAAATCAATCGAAGCAATATTTTGAAATATTGCTAACGAGACCTCCCTCGAGTAAATATTTCAGCATCATCCAATTTATTTTGCACAAGTGCAGTTTGAATGTAAAATTCTCGATGTCACACTTACCAAGTAGCATCGGGGTTCTCGTTTTCCTTGCATAGAGGTGGGAACTTTTTTCGTCTCAAATTATATATGCCGTTACTTTCCGGCTTTTGGTATATCTTGACACCTATGTCGCTGACATCATCGGTTTTATCCGCCAGTATGTTCCAACAAATCGATGACGTCAACGTCGACAAAGCTGGCAATAAAAAAAAAGAAAAAAAACATCATCAAAAAGTGTCGAAAATCGGTCAAAGGTTCCAAGGCAAGTGTTTCGCACGCGCGAAAAATCAAGAAGATATCTAACCTTCTTCACCTTCGATACTGTTATGCTTAGTCGACATAATGAAGTACCCTCCGGGCCTCAATATCCTATTCATCTCGAGTATAAGTTTACCACCTGAAATCAATTAATTAAAAGTTAAAATCTTTAATAAACGAAAAAGGCAAAAAAAAAAAAAAAAAAAAAACGGACGAACCGTTTGAATGCCAAGAAATACTGCATTCGCCGCAATGAATTGCATCGAAGACTCCACTCGGAAAAGGGAGCCTCCGATTTGCGAAAGGGGTAACTAGTGTAGGGTAACCACGCTCGAGGGCTAGTTGAGCTAGGTCAACTAGGTCATCTTTCAATCCGAGAGTGAGAGTCAAAACATCCTTCTCGAGTAGATACGCACTAAAGCTCGAATCTTTACATCCGATATCTAGAACAATCCGTATGTTTTTTCCCCATTCAATGTCGGGCGCCATCTAAACAATCAAATGTTTAAAATAAATATACCATGTACTAATAATTCTGCGTTAAAATTGCAGCATTGCGATGCAACTTATAACCGAATAACAATGAAATCAAATTTGACAAATTTATTATACGACGAGAAAATAGCAAGAACAACTCACCTCTTCTATGGATTCTAAATAGTGTTGAATTCCACCTTTGAATAAAGACTGATTCTGCGGAAAAACGAGATACTCTCCAGATTCAACTAACCAATCTTGCGTTTTAACATACGCAGCTAATTTCGGATGCGCCACATTTCTGTACATTATCTGCAAAAATTAACGATATCAACATCTTTCAAAAAAATCGTATTACAAAATAAAAATTCTTCGTCGTTATATATGTATATACCTTCGTTTTGCTTTCGGGCCAAGCGACTGGACCGCCGTAACCATCACGAGGAAGAGGAACAAGACACGTAAAATCCAATTTAGGGCAACTCCTTTCACGGTGCCTATAACTATGCAACTTAGTCGTAGCAATTTCAATGTCGATGCAAGGGATATAGTTATGCTTACTTCTCGTGTTGCACGATTTCCAAATGTAGCGTCTTTTCGGATCGAAAACCGGACCCAATTTCTTCTTATTCGCCTTTCGTAAACCACCTCCATTATCTCCTTCTTCTTGTTCATCAGCCTCAATATTCGAATCTTCCGTATTAATCGAATCGGAATCTTCTTCCAAAGACTCATCCGATTTGCCGTCACTATTTTCCTCATCAGCTTCTTCGCCTTCTTTATCGTTGTCCTCTCTCTCCTCCGATCCACCGTTTTCTCGATTTTTTTCTCCACTATCCTTTTTCGACAACTTCGAATCCCCATCATTTTCTTGATTTTTCTCTCCACCACCACCCCTTTTCGACAACTTCGAATCCCCATCATTTTCTTGCCCTTTTTCGGGTTTCATCGGGGCGGAAACGTTAAGGGCATTATCGTCTTTATCGCCCAATCTAGAGTTGAATCTGTGTTCAAGCTCCCTTTCTTGATCTTTATCTCTGGGTTCTTTCTTGCTGGGATGAACTGGCACATCGGATACCGACTCAGCTAATATATCATCGAAGCTCTCCCTTCGAGAATTTACGGAGAAACTCGAAAAGATTGACCATACAAATATAAAACACAGACCTAACACTACAACTGCTGATAGCTTCACACAGAACCCATATGATTGATAAGAGCGCTTCACTTGGCGCCCTAATCTTGATATTGCCATATCTGTATCTATATGTCTCTATCTATCTCTATATCCCACAAATCTTCCTTCCAAAAATAGCAACTTCAAAATCGATTTTCAGTTATAAAAAAAAAAAAAAAAAAAAGATTAGCTGAACAAGATAATGAATGTAATAATTGTGAAAGAACAGAGAGAGTAGAAGTGAAGGAACTTACTCACTGATTTTTAATTTGAATTTAAATGATGTTTGAATCAGATTCAATCAACCCCACGAAATAATGGAAATAATTCAATCAAACCCATGTTGGATTTAAGTTGAGGAAAAGTGATTGTTTTTTTTTTTTTTGTGAGGGTTTTGTTGTAATTCAGCCCCAACTCCACCTAATCTGAAGTTTTCTTGAAAGAAGTAGAAATTAAGAATACTTTTATTTAAAAAAAAAAATTCAATCTTGAGTACTGCAAAAGCTGCTTATAATGGTCGGATTCTGTCATCGCCGATCAGACCAATTGGGAAAGTATTTTCGGTTTTTGGATTAACTAATATGCTCAAATTGGTCGGCATTTCACACACACAAACGTGTGTGTTTACTGTCTGAAATTCATTTAGTTTTTTCAAATTACGAAAAAATCCTTCTTGTTTGCGTAATTATAGCCACCTCTCAACTATGTATTTTTTCTTACACGTTTACCTTTATGTTGTCAAAGGGTGTTCATCCGGTCGGTAAACTGATCGAATCGAACCGACTGAAAATTCGGTACATGCTGATTACCATAAATGGTATGAAAATTTGGCTTACCAAAATTTCATTACGATTTTACAGAATGAACATACATTATTTACCAACTTGAAGGGTTTATTCGTAGAAAAATACATAGTTGAGGGGTGACTGTAATTATGCGAACAAGAGGGGTTTTTCGTAATTTAACATTACATCAGAGGGTTGACTGTAATTTGCCCATTAATTAAGTTGCTTTGAGCTATTTTCTTTTTAAAGTTTCTTCAGACCGGTTTTTTTCTACTTAAGTTAACTAGTAATCGTTCACGTGCGTTGCATGGGGTCACATTCAACAAAGGAGAAAGTAATTGTATAAATAAATAATAGTACAAATTGTAATAAATAATCTATCAAATAATATTGAAATATATATATATATATATATATATATATATATATA